ATAAAATAAAATGACAGTTATAAATATGGTTTCAACATCCATGCAAAGAGATTTTAATTATGCTTAGTTATCACATTGTAGATCTAAATGTCTCTAGGTAATGGAAAGCCACTATTTAAGGTTTTTTTTTAATGTTACAAGTTTTGAAAGTGTTATCAAAGCTGAGATAGTCTTAAAATTTTTAACTATCTTTTAAAATATGTCATATGACACATGTTACTGATACATAATCATTTTTTTCTTTAAAATACTAATGGCTGAAACTTAATGAGGTCAAAGAATGACTTTCATAATACATAATATGAATTGTAAAGACCCTATAGGCATTTGCCTAAGACTTCATTTTCTATAAAATTATAAATTATTTTTAAAAATTAAGTTTATTTCAATTAAAGAAAAATTCAGTGCACCTTCATTTATTACTTCATGATAACAGTACGTCCAGTTAGTTTTTAAAATAATGCACTAGAAAATTACACAGAATTCTGAAATACTATTTTTATTTCAAGTACAATGCATAAATGAGTCATCAAAAGAATTTCAAATTGTTATTTTAGCTATTTTTGCAAGTATAATTCTGAACTTTAAGTTCAAATATTTATAGACTATTCTCTGCTCTGGTATCTCAGATTTGTAACTAACATACTAACATGCTGTCCAAGTTAACATATGCATTGATTTAACTAGAGTACAATATATTCAACATATTCTATTCTGAGAAAGTATGTTGATTTGTAGAAAAGTTTTCAAAATCTATACAATTAATGATGAATTCTTCTAATAAAGTAAGGTATTAATTAAGCACCTCATAAAAGGGCAGATATATTCCAATCTACATGCTTTCTGTTTATTCTTGCCATTTGATTGTATTCAATATAGATTTTTATGCTTTCAACAGCAGAGAGCCAGCCATTACAAACCAGAGAGCACTGTCATTCAAAAAGTGATGAGATTAAGGATTGCTAGCCCAACACTGAGAGTGAAAAAAACTAAAGTAGATAAATATGATTTTATCTTCAGAGATTGACACCATAAAATATCCATCGTAGTGTAACGGTAATGTATAATTCAAGTTTGAATATTCTAAACTAATTTTTCAAATACAAAAGATAGGTGTCTGTATAGCTGAAATGTACATAGAGTTCTAATTAGCAGGAATTGGACATTTATGTAGTTGGTCTAAAAATAGAAAGTCCAGATTATGATAATCAACGGTATCTATAATCAGTTGCTATTTCATCCCTTTGGTAATTTTACAGGTGTCTTCTGGGGAAAATGAAACCGATATCATATAATACCGTACTATTTAATAACAACCATAAATGCCCTGGAAGTATTATGGTCAAGAAATTTTTAGCATTTTTTTTTCCCTTGAGGAAAAATTTCCAAGCTTTGTTCTTATTAAGATGGCAGGGGCAGGGGATGAATACACCTGAGCTTACATTTTGGTCAAAATTATGCCAAAAACATTTTTGAAAAGTAACTTTTAAAAATAAAATTGCCCATTGAGTATTAGAAAGAAAAATACATGTATACATGGAACATACTTTACATCCACATGTTTATGGGCAAGTATTAATATGTAATTGTACCCTTAATGAAATCAATGTCTAAAGTCCAAAATTGCTCAGAAAATGACCCCGCCAGGTTTTCTTTTTTGGGGGAGAGGTTTTTGCTATAGGGCGCGTGCGCTCGCCAGACAGACAGAGAGACAGAAAGCGAGAAATCACCCTCCCAGGGGGAATGGCCACACCACAATCCCTTCTCCTTTCTCTTCTCGGGATATTGGGCACGCACGCACATGCGCCTGGCGTGAGTTTTAAGCCACCGGGTCCGGGATGCTACATGGGAGTCCAGCAACTTAGCCATTACGCTAACTGCTGGTCCCCCCGCCAATTTTTTTTTAAGAATTACTTTTTTATTTAATTTTTTTTATTTTTAAAAATTTTGACCAAAAGGGACTGAGAGAGAGAGAAAGAGAGAAAGTGAGAAAGCAAGCCACCAGGTCTGGGACTCAACCACTGTGGGCCATGCGGGAGTCCAGCACTCTTGATCACCACACCACCTGCCCGCCCCAAGCCTAAGTTTTTATGTGCCCACATAGTACATCATCAGAATGCAGCATTATTTCCATAATCATCATATTATTGAATAGCCACTACCTTGCATTTTGCCTAGAAACTTTTCAGATTTTAAAATTTCACATCATTGAAATGGTCTAACTGTATGGCAATGCACATGATTAGCATTTGCTAATTAAGAACTTTCCAAATGTAAATGTGATAGGTATGCTGTTAAAAATTATATATCAGATATACATATCTTGTTCTTACAAGTATTTAGAGCATAATATTTATTTGGTTACTTCTTTAAATTTCTTGCTTCTGTAAATCTGATAATTTAATGATTTAATATTCAGTGTATAAAATGTAATCAATTTTAAATCTGCAAGATAATTCAAAACCATGTTTAAAATTTTGATTTTACATAGTTTGTCCCTTTAGGGTTGAAGTGTATTATAAATGAACCATCTCCAAGTGAATTTAAATGCTAGATCTGTGATTCAAGGAAGTAAAAATAAAAGTAACTATAAAGGGTTTTTTTGGATAATGAGACAGCTTTATATATAGTGTTCATCAACTATATGTGGGAATTGAGATTATTTTTTTAACTCTGTGCTTCATGATGTTATGATGTTCTTCCAAGCAATGATGATCTCATCGAAAGCACTGAGCATCTATTAAATGCTTGCTACTACAGTGGTTGTTTTATATCCACTCCTTCTATTGTTTGTAGCAAAATACCTTGACACTTTTTGACCATGGACTTTCTGACAAACTATATTCTGGTATATATTGCTTGTTTTTACAAGGCAATCTGTAACCGCCATTTATAACCACAGGTAATATTTAATGAATGCTTACTATGTGCCATATGGTTGCATTATTTCATTAAATCCTCATAATCTCTCTTGAGAGTGGGACCATTATTCCTTCATTTTAAACATCGAAAAAATAAGGGTTCTTAAAAAATGAAATAATTTGCTTAGAAAATGGTAGTTTCAGAAGATCAAAGTTCTAACCATTGTACATACTGCTCTTCTTTGTAAATTATGGGTACACCCTTTTATTGTAAAAGAAAATGGCAAACTTCCTTATAATTTCTCACTGGCATTCTTTGCAGTAGAGATAGACCAGGGAAAGGAACCTCTTTCCTTGCTGCTTCAGTATTCTCGGTAATAGTTGCCTGGGAGAGCTACTAACACGTATTCCGGTCCTGCTTCGACCAAATCAGAGAGGGAAGAAGTCGAAATGGGACTTATTAGGGAAAATAAGGACTAAGACTCTTTTTTCCAAGTGCATAGGAGTGACCACTTCCATTTAATTTTAAAATCTGATTTTGACAAAGAAAACATTAAACGTTTTAAAGGCTTCAAAATAAGAAAACGAAAACTTAGTATTTCTGAGACTTTGGCATTGAAGTCTGGGACTAAGACATTTGCAGACCTTCCCAGGTCCGCTCAGGAAAACCCTTACGCTGGTTTAAGGTTCAGTTTTTGTGGAGTTTTGAACTCTTGACTCCAATGTGCTGATGAATTTAGACCCAAAACTCTTGAGCGTTTGTTGTGGTTGCTTAGCTTTTCTCAGGGAAAAAAAAAATCACGAGTGTTTTAAGTATTCTTTTGGAGAGTTGGGGGAGGAACGGAGGAAAAGAAAAATTAAACGGTCCACAGCCAGTCCGTATAATTTGAGGTTTTCTCACTAACCTCCCTTGGGAGATTACGATGTGACCTTTAATCGGGAAATGGTAACTTTATTACCATTTATCTGGTTGCCCCTCTTTCCACTCTCGCAGGAGGAGCCCCGCTCATTTGTTTCCGAGAGCCACAGTGGGAGAAATGTCCGACCACGGACCCCGCGTTCGCCATCCCGCGGGGCCGCGACCTCGGGCGCGCATTTGGCGGGCGTGGAGGCCGTGGGGGCCCGCGCTGCCCCGGGAACCCGGCCGCTCGGCTCAGCATGGAGAAGCGCCTTCTTTGGTCAACGCCAGCCGGATGCGAACACACTGAAGGGTTCAGGCGCGGCCTCCGGGCACCTCCAGGGGCCAAACAGACCTGGAGGCTCTTCCAAGTGCTGCGCCCCGAGAGCCGCCGCCGGAGACCCCGAGCGCCTCAGAGCGCGCGGCAGCCTCCCGGCGGGGGGCGGAACCTCCACTCCGCC